GGTGGGCAGGGAGGGGGCGAGAGGGGGGCTCGGGAGAAGGTGTGGGCCCCAGTGTCCCCCCATGGAGGACAGTGCCCCCGAGAACTTCTGCATGGGTGTGGGCACAGGCCTGCAGGTACTGACATGGGAAGAGCCTCACGACAGGGGCCACATGGGGAAGCTGGCCTGACCCCACACCCTGCAGTGTCCTGTGGACTCACAATAAGCCAGTAACATGCAGAGAAGTCCGCATGGCCTTGGTGGCCTCGGCGACGTGGTCCCAGAGCCTCCCTGGCCTTCCCTTGCAGGGCTGCAGGGACGAGCGGGCGGGGCCTTCACGTGTGTCCCCTACATGCCTGTGCCGCTCAAATCTTCAAACAAGAACACGCTTCCGCATTTCTTCTAAAGACACAGCATCGATGCAGAGGATCGGAGGTGACCCCGCAGAGGACTCTGCGTACGCCGGGATGAAAGGCCACCGCAGGGTTGAGAGTGGACGTGGTGGTGTAGGGGAGCCCAGGAATGACCCCGCATGTCCACGGATGGGTCCCAGAGCAAAGGAGAGTTGTGTGGAGAGTCCGGGAGGCTGGGCAGGGTCAGAGGCGGGCAGTGTGCCTAGAACAGGCCTGGCAAGGGGGGTACTTCACGCCGGAGTCTCCATGAGCTGATGACAGCTGTCCCTGGGTTGTCAGGTGCTCCACTGTGCTGGGCTGTGAAGGGACGTGGCTGCCCAGATACAGGATGAAAACTCCGTCCCAGGGACGCTTCATACCCAGTGAAGTGGGGCCCTGAAGTCCCCAGTCCATGGAGGCCACACCTGAGCAGACGGGAGAGGCCACACCCAAGTGGCCAGAAAGATGGCTGGCATTTGGCCAACGGAGGGGGTGATGGAGGAAGGGAGTTCCAGGCAGTCGGAGCAGCGAGTGCTAAGGCCCTGGGGTGTGAGCGAGCAGCGACATTGTGGGGATGAAGACGGGTCAGAGTGCACACGGGAGAGCAGGAGTGGGGTGGCAGAGAGAGAAGCAGGGAGAGCAGGCCACTGCCGTGTGGGCCACCGGAAGGCGTGTGGGCTCAGTCCTGAGGGCTGAGGAAGGATTTCTGGGAGCTGGAGGCCAGTGGGGCCAGGGCCGCCATCCAGACTGCAGTGGGCAGAGTGGGGGTCACGGAGAGCCCAGGAGTGCAGGTGGTGGCGTCTGCACAGGTGGAGGAGACTCTGGTGGCCAGCCCAGTGATGGCCAGGACATTCGGAGAGGTGATGGCCAGGCCAAGAGCCCAGAGCTGTCTTTGAGGCGTGGGAATCAGATAGCCAGTGGGGTGCAGGGTCCAGCTGTCCCTTCCCTTCCCGTTCAGGTGTAGACCCCAATGGGGACTCAGACAGGGCACACGGGCACCCCCTCAACCCTTGGTCATAGCAACAGGGTGGGGTGGTTGAATGGTCTGGGGGTGGGGACCTGGGCTTTTGGGGTCCCCCGGGTCTGCTGTGCACCCTCAGCTTCCCAAGGAGAGCCTCAGGCAGCAGCAAGGTGGCCACCCCATGATGGTGACCTTCCTCCGCCGCTCCCCACCACCCCGGCCCTTGGGAGAGTCATTTCATTTCTCAAATTAAAAATCCATTTTGTGCTGTGAATAATGGATGGCATGAGCCCTGGGAGGCGGGCGGAGGACAGGAAGCTGGTTGGGGGTGTTTTCAGGGCACAGAAGACACTGCCACACTGTTGGGGGCAGCTGCTTGGACAGGGTGGAGGCGGTGGGGGCAGCTCCCAGGGCCGACCCCTGCTAGGACGCGCTGAGGCTGGCCTGGGTGCCAGCGCTGGAGCAGGCCAGCCGGGAGCAGAAACCGTCTGACCACGTCTGGGCTCCAGGCTCAGCCAGGCCTGGCTCCAGGCTGGCAGCGTCCTGTAGACAACGTGTTGAGTCCCTCATGTGGTCAATGCCCAGGAGGTGTGAATTGTCAGCGTGAGCACTGTGGTCCCCGCCGCCTCTCAAGCCAGGCATCAGTGGCCGCACTCA